CATAAAATTTCCATTGCATAAGTATTTTCACCATGATCTTCTATTGAAAAATATATGCAAGAATATTTCTACTAGCTTTATTTACAAGAGCAAATTTCTTAGCTCAAATGTTCATTAAGTGAAAAATGTTTTTAAAAATTGTGAAATATTTATATAATGCAATAATGTAGATTGTTTAAAAAATGAGCAAACTGCTGATATACCAAAAAAAAGGTAAATTTCAAAAGAATACATTCCATATGTTCCTTTTACATGAAATTCGAGAACAGACAAAATTAATCTGTAGAAATAAAAGTCAAAATTCTGGTTATCTGTAAGTGGAGGCAGTTACTATATTTTGAAAGCAAGAGTTAATCTTCTATAAAACTGGAAATACTTGTCTCCATTTTTATCTGAGTGGTGTTTATATGAGTATATTCATATATCAAACTTCCTCAATGTGTATACTTGAGACTTGTGTCTTAATTCTACTTAATCTATGCTTTTATCTTTTAAAACAGAGTTCTCTCTGGGTTCTATGGATATGTGTATCCTTTCTAGTCTTGGGTTATGCACAGGCAGAGCCTCCCCAGTAGAAAAGAGTTCTCACCCCGCATGTACTTGAGCACATCCTTTTCACCAAGTAACACAGAGGTTTGCTTACAATACCTGTCTATAAAAATTCCTCTCAGAGCCCTTTCCCTGCAACAGATCCCCAATATACCACTAGACCTACTTCTTACGGCAGTCTTAGAGTGAGAAGTTTGCATAGTTTGTAACATGGACTCATAGGCTTAGCTTGTTGTTGTTGTTGTTATTAATGTTGTTTTGCTTTGATAGTTTTCCACTTATAACAACATTCAGGATCTGAATACTTTCTAATCTGGAAGGGAATATAGACCTTTCCAGGTGAAATTATAGAGTTTTCACTTATTAAATAGCACTTAGTTCTCAGACTATTTCTTGTCTCCATACTTGTTCCTTCCTTGTTTCCTTTCTTAAACATTTCAGATAGCTTTTGGCCTTTAGAATGCCACTACTTACTCTGTGTGTGTGTGTGTGTGTGTGTGTGTGTGTGTGTGTGTGTGTTTTAATTGTAGATGGACACAATATCTTTATTTATTTATTTTTATGTGGTGCTGAGGATCGAACCCAGGGTCTCACACCTGCGAGGCAAGTGCTCTACCTCTGAGCTAAAGCCCCAGCCCCAGCCCCACTACTTACTCTTATATAGCTTTAACACCATTTGTTCATCTTTTGTTACTCTTTTTTTTCTCAACTAATTATCCCTCAATTATTTCCTCTGAGTCATTTGGTTTGATATGTCCCTGATTGGGTATTTGGGAGCTTTATTTTGGTTCCATTTTGAGTTACTTGAAACAAAGCTATTATATATTCTACATTAATAAAGTGAAATTGAAACAACTATGTCATTAAAAATAACAAGATGCATGGCATTATTACCAACTGCATGACCTTCATCAATTCACATTGGTAAAACTTGGCTAATAACATTTTAAATAAAACCAAGGGGTCACTTACCCAGAAACTTACCTTTAGGTTAATATTTTTACAATTTACTGGGTAGTCTTTGGTTATAGTGAACTTCAAAGAATCTCAAAGATTGTTTAGCCTACCTTCTTTTCAAATTTTTTATATATGGAAACAAAGGAAGTATAGCAGTTATGTCACTGACATCATCATAAGAAACTAAGCTTGTATAACACCAAGACTCCTTGCTTCTTGATTTATTTCCACACTATGAGAAAGTTAGCCCAATGTTGGGGGCAGGGGGAGATTGCTGAAGTCCATTCTATTTGCCTGAAATTGCCAGTCTAATCCAGCTCTAAAATTATTATTAGTACAGTTTTTAAACTTTAATTTTGACTGATACACACAAAAATAAGAATTTTACATATTAGTTAGGTACCCTGTGATGTTTCAGTTCTAAAATAGTAGGTACTATGATTGCAAATCTCGCTTTGAGACCAAATTTGGGTCAATGTACCTATTAAATTTCAAATAAAACACCAGAGTAACTAAAACAGACAATTTGTTGAAAAAACCTCCCTCCTCCATTCTTGTGAAGAAAAAAAAAATTGAGTTTTTAAAATTATTTCATTAAGATAATGAAATAATTTTGCTATTTTCTTCTATACAGGCAGATGGATAGAAGATAGGTTGATGAATAGATAGGTGAAGAAATATATAAAAGGTAGACAGATGGATGTCATACTATTTAGAACATGAGCATTAAACTAAGTATAAATATCCAGACTAAAAAAAAAACAGTGTTCAGAAGACTAAAGGTAAATGGAGCTATCTGGATGATACTGTGTACAATAAAATGAGTCCTGAAGATTTCGTTATTGTTTTTTTTCCTTCTCTTTTGTTCATTTATTTATTTTTTGGTTTAGCACACCCAGAGCTGGAATAAATAAGGGGAAGCCTTTGTTTTTTTTTTTTGTTCTGATTTAGCACAGATGTTATCCTATTAATAGGTGATAGGAAGAATAAAGAATTACTCCACTCCTCTTGTTCCTCCTTATTTAACAGGGAAAATAATCTTCATATTGGAAGGATTCAGAGAAGTGGGCCTTATACTCAAACATGAATTCGAATCCATATGTTGCTCTTAGAGTCAGGGATTTTGTGCAACTTATCTGCCCTGAGTCTCATTTGAGTAGTAGTTCTAACCCAAGAGGTTTAGGAGTATTAAATGAGATAATGCATGACAGTGTAATACATATATAATACAGAGGATGGAAACTCCAAATAGGTAATAAAATAAAAAAGACTTTTAAATTAGACAATATTTTAGCATTAAGAAGACTTACATCCCAGTGTGCTGGTAAAAATTGAAAAAACAAAAGTGATACTACTGCCAGTAACCTTTGAGAAGTTGTTGCAAATGCTAGATATGTTAGCTTATTGCTCCAATTTTCAAAAAGGAGGGAAAGGAGGATTCTCAAGATTTGGTAATTCCAAACAGTCAGATAGAAGTTTTAAGCCCCACAAAAATTCCAGATGGTTTATAGATTATAAAACAGATATCCTATGTGAAAACATTTTGAAGAAAATTGCGATTACTGAAACTGGAGCCTAATCCAATGCAAGTCATGCTGAAAACAAGACTTTCTTTTTTTATTTATTTATTTATTTTTTGAGCAGCTCTAATACAAATCAGAAAATGTCACAGACACATAGTATATCTGCTCAAGGGCGTGTGACAAAGGTGACATGAACTTTCAATATACTAATGCATGTTACAAATACCCAGAGGAAAATACTTGATATAATGCTTTCTAAATTATTTGACTACATAGCCCATTTTCTGCAAAGCATCTAATAAAGTCTTAAAGAAATTGGATTGGGCAGAACATGGGGACACAACAGACTAAGCCCAGATAGTAGTAGCCTCTATTGGTTAGGCAGCCTTTGCCTTGTTGTGTTTATTTACAAATGCCGCCCCCTCCACACTTTTTTTTTTTAAAGGAACCCAGACAAACTATAATTTTTCAAAGAAGGAAACTGAAGTAACGAATTATATAAAGATATACCTTCCTAAAAGCAAGAATTATAAACCCTGGGAGAGACACCTGGGTACGAGGTTGTGGTAAAAATCAATTGCAAAAAATTTTCAATGAATGTCATATGGGAAAGGAATTGAATCCAGTGTGTTTCCTTAAGCAACCAAAAATAAGAGTTCTATCTAGAAGTTACATACAGGCAGATTCTGGCTAAATATAAAGATTTTTGTGAAAGTACTCGTCCTAGGACTAACCAGTCTAGAATTATACATCAACCCTGACACTTCTTAGATAGGCATCCTTGAACACAATCACTCAACTTCTTAAAAATCCAGTCTTCTTATCTGTACTGTGGGGAAGCTCATGGAGGCACAGAAAAGAATAAATCTCGTGCTAAGTTTGAAAAGAATCACACCGTTCCTGGCACAGATGAAGAGCTCCATAAGTGGAATCATTAGCACTCCGAGTAACATGTGAAGCTACCCCAAAATGAAAAGGATGGAGTCCATCTGACAGTAGAGAAAAGCTCAATAGTGGAATTACATAAGCATATTTTTTAATCTTTCAAAAAAATTAAATGAATTTTAATTTAATTAGGGGGATCATATTAATTCAATTGATTGATTGTGTAAATTAATTTAACTAATCTCATGAAAATCAAAGAGGCATCAATAGAGTAGAGGGAAGAAAAGAAGGGGAGTGATGAGGGCAAGAAAAAGAAATACTGGGGAAATTTTATATATATAATATAGTACATTATGTTGCTATATTGCATGCAGATATGAATATGTAACAATGAATGCCACCGTTATGTACAACTATAGTGCACCAATTTTATAAAAGGGGGAAAAAATGGAAAGCTGATTGAGCAACCAAAAGAAAGTAGGTGTGACTAAGTTCAGATCACTTTGAGCTTGCAGTCACACTGAGCCTGGAAGTTAAAGGCCAATATAGTAAACAACCATAATGCAAGGATAAAAGCCTTCAAAGTTGCAAGAGGCTCAGAAATTACCAGAACAGATGATTTTTGAGGGAAAGATGGAAGGCTTCACGCTACCTTCTAGTTAATAATTCTCATTGTCCTCCTTGAGTTAAGAGACTTGCAGAGTTACACTGAAATCAATGCAGCAGGTGGACTTTTGTCAAAGGTTTCAGCAGCCCCAGATTTCTAAAAGTGGTGTCCAGCCTTGTAGCTGTCCTGTTTATCCGCCTGTTTTGTTGTCTTAAACAGCCACTTTCCCATTTGGAACCTGGGGCTGCTGCTGACAAAACAGGAAGTGATTTGAATGCAATCTGCTTTTGTGGGTTTCTGGACTTCAGGAGTTTTAAAACATGTTTTAGCTGTTGCCCAAAGTGCCTTGCTTTACTTCCTCTATTGCTTATGAAAAAAAAAAAAGTGCAACCCTGTAGGGGTTAAAGTATTGGCACAAAGTACAGAACAAATGCTGACTTAATGAATGTGCTTAGCTTTTTTTTTTTTTTTTTTGAAAGAAAACATTGGGGGTGGGGAGAGAAAAAGGGAACTGGGAAGAGAAGGAGAGGAAGTTAAACCTTGCTTCCCTCCCTATCTTCCTTAGAAAACCCAATATGGCATCTTCCATGAGGAGCTTGTTCTCTGACCACAGCAGATATGTTGAATCTTTTCGGAGGTTTCTCGACAATTCCACGGAACACCAGTGCATGCAGGAATTCATGGACAAGAAGCTGCCAGGCATAATAGCAAGGTAACAAAAAGGCACGTTTTTTGTCAAAGGGACAAGCGTCCGATCACTGTGCGCCAGTGATAGATGGGCTGAGCCCAGCCCCGCAGGCTGGGCGCGGGGATAAGGGGAGTTGCTGATAGCAGCTCCTAGCAGCTCCCCCTCTGCCTCTCCTCATGCCCTCTCCTGCCTGTCTCCTGCAGTGCTTTGGTTAGACGTTCTCTTTGCTTTAAACACTCAAAGGCTCAGATTTGTGCTGTATTTCCAGCTGCACAGAGATAAGTGTTAACTCTTTGAAGGCACAAAATCTATGTTCATGGGAAAACATAAGATACAAATCTTTGTAGTCAGATTTTTCAGCCCTCCTCCAAATTTTTACATTTCAAAAAAGTCCCAAGTGGAATACAGTATTCTTTTCATTAGAATCAAATACAAATAATTGCAAAATGCCATTGACTCCTGAGAATTGAGTGGGTACCTCTCAGTTCTCATAATAATATGCATTTAAATTCGTTTTCCTTTGTCCCTTATAGTTATCACTCTTCAAAATATTGTCTTTTCCTTTCAACTTAGTATTAGCTATGTGGTCCTTGAAAAAGAGCATTTTCTCATTATCAGTGAAACTGAACTGACTAGTTTTCTTTCTCCCAGACTCCCCCCTCCTTTTTTTTTTTTTTTGGTGTGTGATTAATGTGTTCAATTTGTGCCAGAGCTGATAAGCATTATGAGAGTAACAGATTCCACATGCTAAAGATAATCAAATCACCTATCTGGGGATGAATTGCTACAACTCCCTCTGCTTCAGGAAATAATGATGGAAAACTGGGAAGAAATGACTGTGGATCCAATTTGCAGACAGCAAAGGAATGTGATATTTTATTGTTTGCTAATTTCTCTATTACAGGCCTGACATTCTTTCACCACAGCAGTATCAGGGTCTGATCAGAGCAGAGATTGTTGGATGTATGTAGAATTCTACTATTTCCATTTTATTGGAAATTTTTATTCAATTTTCATTACAGAGTTTACTTTTTAAATGCTGCTTCTAAAAAACAACAGTATTACATAATGTATTAAAATTAATATGTAATGGAGTAGTGATATAAAAATCAAAGTAGATAGCAAAGACAGATAAATTCTTATTTAGGAACTAATTGTACATTATTTCTTTAGGTCTTTTTGCTCATTTCTAAAATTAAAGATAATGATTTAATTTCTGCATTCTTTTCCAGTCCTATAAGAACACATTCTTTTCTTTAGCTTATCCATATCCTTGGCTTTCTAAAGCCACACAACTTTTTCTGAAGAGGTAGCTTGGATCAATATAACATAATCAATAATCAATGATGGATGCCCCTTCCCCTCCCCTGTCTTCAAAGAATATCCAGATCTAACTGGAATGTTGAAAGTTAATTTTTTGAAAGGCTGATGAATTTTCAAAGTTATAACTAAATTTGCATTATAATGGCAATATAGAGTTAGGAATGCCTGAGTAAAAATATCCTTCATTAAGAAAGTAAATTTTTCCTAAAAGTAATGTTTGAAATTTGACTTTAGTTGAAGGACCTTTAAAGATTTTGCTTGAGGTTGTTTATAAGTTATGAGGCACTAAAAAGTGGTTCAGAACTTCACTGTGTATGTAAGGGTAGGGTTCACTGATTGGCTGTTAATTGGGTGTGGACTCAGCCTATTGAATTTAACATTTTTATTAGAACAAGACATGTTCATATTTTAAAAAGTCAGATGGTTCTAAAAAGCTTATAGTAACAACAACAAATTGTAGCCTTCTATCCTTCCCACTCTCCAAAAGCAATCACTTCCAAACCTCAAAATATTTTGTTGCTTATGGAATTTTTTCATAATCTAAAATATATATAATTCTTTTATTTCTTAATTTTGTTCTACTAAAATAACTAACTAAACATACGTTTTCCCCATCTATTATGTCCAATTGTTTGGTTAAATAATTAACCAAATGGTATAGTGTCTATACCATTTTTTTCTGTTTACATATTATTCATAATTGAACAATATTTATACTCATTACATTTATTTTTCATGTGTAACTTTGGGTCTTGCCTATAATTGACAATGATTGTCTGGATTTTGGTTTTTTATGTTTCTATTACTACAATGATGCCCAAGCAGCAATTGCTAAAAATAATGTGTTTAGTTTTCCCATGGAAACATCTTTTCTGGAGCCTTCTGTTCTTTTCTGCAGTCTGGGAAGATTTACTTTTGGCTGGCTATATAGCTATTGATGAGGGAATGTGTTTAACATTCTAGAAATTTTTGTCTCTTCAGTATTTGATTGATTTCCTGATGATGGATTGGTGGATTTCAGGCCTTTCTTTCTGGATATCTTTAGTCCCCCCCCCTCCCCTTTTTTTAACCTGAGCTAAAGTTGTAAGAATTTTAAAGTTGAATGAGTGGTGGTAAGCTTTTTGAAATTTTTATGTTTAAAAATGCCTTTACTCTCTGTTTATCCTTTATAGATAGTTTGATTGGGTATAATACTCTACTGAAAATGATTTGTATCATAAATTTATTTTCTGTTTTTCATGTTTGGGGAGATACCCAGCTACCCAAGAAGTCTTCATTTTATATGTATATATGATCAATAATAATAAGGTACTAAAAAGTGGTTAGTACCCTATTTGTCTATGTATGGGTATGGTTTATTGAGTGGATCTCCCAGTTCTTTTCTGGGAGATCCTCAGGTACATAGAAGTTTACTACTCAGATTGCTTGTTTCCCCAAAGAGTAAATCTCCAATTTCTTTTCTGGGGTTGGAGGGTGGAGTAGGGTTCAAGGGTTGATTATAGTATATAATTGTCAGTAGTCAAGTTTGTTATTGTTGTTACATATAAAGCATATGTTTGTTTGCCTCAATAATACCAAGTATTCAGTAATTATTTGTTACCATTTTAATATATTTAATGGGACAATAATAGTATCTTACTCAGAGAGGAGTAAGTTGTGAGGGTTCCAAAAGTTAATTCATGTAAATCACTTAGCTATGTCCAGAATCACAATAATTGTTAGCAAATGTTGAGTGCTTGCCACAGAAATATAGAAATATATTTCTAAGAGATTTAGATGAATTAAATAATTTAATACAACTCCTGTATGACTTAGATACAATTATTAACAACCTTGTGAGGTAGGTAGGTGATATTATTACCTTGTTTAACAGAGAGGTCAAATAAGTTGCTCAAGGTAACATATCAGTAAGCTGGGATTTCAGCCTGGATGCTCTGCTCCATAGTCCCCCTGTGCTATCCACATATATAAGCATTTTTAAAAAGGAGCACAAGATATAGAAAGATGAAGATGAGTATACTAAGCCTCATGATTATAACGTGGAAGTTGATTGGAACAGTCTTTTTTCTCTAGCCTTCTAGCCTTCCTTGCTTCTTCCAGAACCAGGGTCTACCTGTCCCATTCTGTTGCTCCATGCAGACTCCTTCCCTTGAGCTGTATTAAAGGTGTTTATCAACCAACAGTCCAAATGTTGTGGAAAGCTCAGACCTTGTCCCTGGTTCCAATCCAATAGTGAGGACATGGTTTTGAGAAAAATGAAAAAGAAGGTGTATTACTTTGCTAGCAAAGGAGAAACACTGGGGACTACTGTCCCAGAGCCTGTGATTCTGCCCCTCAGCCGGAACAGGGAGCTTTTATTTTATTTTATTTTATTTATTATTTTGTAGTTGTAGATGGACAGATGGCTTTATTTACTTATTTTTAATTTTTTATTCTAACTTGTTATATATCACAGTGGAATGCGTTGCAATTCATATTACACAAATGGAGCACAATTTTTTATATCTCTGGTTGTATACAAAATATCTTCACACCATTCAGGTCTTCATACATGTACTTTGGATAATGATGTCCATCTCATTCCACCATCATTGTCTAGCCCCTTCCTCCCTCCCTTCCCCTCCCACCCCTTTACCCTATCTAGAGTTCATCTGTTCCTCCCATGCTCCCCATCCCTACCCCACTATGAATCAGCCTCCTTAAATCAGAGAAAACATTCAGCATTTGGTTTTTTTGGGATTAGCTAACTTCACTTAGTATTATCTTCTCCAACTCCACCCATTTACCTGCAAATGCCATAATTTTATTCTCTTTTATTGCTGAGTAATATTCCATTGTATATATATATATCACATTTTTTAATCCATTCAGCTGCTGAAGGGCATCTAGGTTGGTTCCACAATTTAGCTATTATGAATTGTGCTGCTATAAACATTGATGTGGCGGTGTCTCTGTAGTATGCTGTTTTTAAGTCCTTTGGGTATAGACCCAGGAGAGGGATAGCTGGGTCAAATGGTGGTTCCATTCCAAATTTTCCAAGGAATCTCCATACTGCTTTCCATATCGGCTAAACCAATTTGCAGTCCCATCAGCAATGTGCCTTTCCCCCCACACCCTCTCCAACACTTATTTTTTGTACAGAATGCCTTTATTTTATTTGTTTATTCTTATGTGGTGCTAAGGATCAAACCCAGTTCCTCACACATGCTAGGCAAGCCCTCTGCCATGAGCTATGGCCCCAGCCTGGAACAGGGGTCTTCTAAAGCCTTGATTCAGAGGCTACCTTCTGCATGTTCTCTGTTGGAATTGTAATTCACTTGTTAATTTGGAAGATAGTCATTTCTGAGATCTTCTGGCACCTTCCTCAACACCTGGATTACTTTGTTCCTATAGCGGGTATGTACTCAGGGACAGATAAATTTATTGAGGAAGGGAAGGAAAGGTAATAGTTTCCCTGAGATTAGGGAGGGGTAGAGATTAGGGAGGAGCATGGACAGAGGAAAAGAAACATGTCCATTTAAAAAAATAAGTCCCAGTGGCAGAGCAGCAAGGGCTATGTTCAGATCATAAAATGGCCCACTGTTACACAAACACAAATATGTTTTCCTTCTACTTGTCACCTCTTCTCTTCTCACTCTTTAATCTGACGTTTGGCCTTAACTTTCTTTTAAGCCTGTTGTTATCAAACCCATTCATATTGCCAAATCCAATGTTCGTGTTCTCCTTTGTTATTTCTTTGACACTGCTGGTGGCTGTCTCTGTCTCATTCCCCTTGCACCTCTGAGCTCTGTCACTCTCTTTCCCTATCTCCTTTGTGTCTTCCTTATAATTCAGTGACTTTTAAAAGTTGGGTGCTACATCATCATCATCCCTCTGCTCTTCTCGATTGGCAACATTTTGGGGTGGTGGAGTGCACTCTCCTGCTTGGCCATTACCTTATGATGACTATTTTCCAGAATACGTCATTGGTGCCTGACCCTCTCCTACACAGTTAATTTTGCATGTCCAAGTATCTTCTGAATTCAGATTTCTGAATAAAAGAACTGACAAAAGGTAAACTTGCTGTGTCAAACTATATTCTCTGCAGCCCTTTACCCACAGAAACATGACAGTCATTATACACTTATATTTTTTTTTCCTGACCCCTTTCTATCCATCTACAAGCAGGTGCTACTAATTACTTGCCAGTTCATCTATTCTTCTCTGTTTCTAGTTCTTCTCTGTTTCAGGGCTTTGTTGTCTCACATTTCAAACTGAGAGCCAAGTAGTATCTTACTCATTTTTGAACCTCAGAATCTAAGGCTACACACATAAGAAATACATAATAGACATTGTTTATTGAAAGAAAGGTGGGAAGCTGGGCATATTAGTGCACACCTGTAATCCCAGCCGTTTGGGAGGCTGAAGAAGGAAGATTCCAAGTTCATAACCAGCCTCAGCAACTTAGCAAGGTCCTAAGCAACAGAGCAAGACCCTGTCTCAAAATAAAAAATAAAATGAACTGGGATGCGGCTCAGTAGTTAAATCCTTGGTACCAAAAGCAAAACAAAACAAAATGAAGGTGGGAAGGACAGGAAGACAACAGATACCACAGACCTTCTGTCCTTTTCCCTATGTACTCAAAAGTCCTCATTTATTTTTTCTTGTTCTCCAAACAATCTTCAAGCAAATGGTATGTCATACCTTTACAATGTTCCTAGAGCTGTGTTTAAAGTCTCCCAGGTCAAGACTGTTGATGAATGGAATCTGTAAGTTTACAAAGACACTCTAAAGAGGGCACTAGAACCACTGAAATAATTGAGACCTTTCATGTTAACCTAGTTTCTGTTTATTGTATTTTTAGTCTATTTTCTTCAAATAGATTTGGTAATCAGATTTTACAAAGCACCTTGCACATTTTTCGTAAAATACATATTTTTTTTGTTTGTTTTTCAGGATTGGAGATGCAAAATCAGAAATTAAGATTCTGAGCATAGGCGGAGGTGCAGGTATGAATAATACATTTTAAAAGTTTGTATTTTACTGTAAACATCATGCTATTTGATGGCTATCTTTTTTATTCTTTAGAAAAGCTATTTTGTTTTTGGAAAAGATCAGCACATTAAAACTAGCAATGCCATGTCAACTAAGATGAATGCCCCTATAGATTTATAGTTTAGGACATTAACCTTCATTACTATCTGTAATGTGGATAAGTGATGTGACTCTCTTATCCTTTTTACGAATGGGGAAACAGAATAATTTGGAAGTTTACTTTTATCCAAAATGATTTCACAGAAAAGAAGAAGTTCATATGAAGTTTCCTAGGTTTGTGCCACTGGAAGCCTGGTCCATGCATTGGTCACTGCTATATGAGCTGTGGTTCATCCAGGAGTGAATTAGAATTGTTCAACAGAAGGAGAGTTATTGGATGCATAGCTGCCTTCATTCAGAAAGCCTCACTAGGAGGAATAAGTGCTTGGTGGTGTAGTTCATTTACACTGTTGTGACCCTACTTTTCAAGTTGCATTAGCCTAAACCACTCCCTTTTTCTGGTTGAGTTTCAAAGCTGCCTTCTAAGCATTTGAAACACTCCCCAAACCTTTTAAATATGGTCCCACTATTCTTGGAGCTAGTGCAAAAATGTGAACTCTGGAAAGGCAGATAGACGTGATGTCATTTCTAATGGCCCCTAATGATTTGTATGTTCTAGGCTGAGACAAAAGCTGCAGTTTTCTCATCAGTAAAATGAGAATAATGGATTTTATCTCATAGAATTGTAGTGAGAATAGTATAGTTAAAATGTTTATAAAGTGTTTAGCATATGGTTTTCCTATAAGGCAAGGGCTGTTCCCTTCTGCAAAAATAAAACAAACTTTAACTCATGACTTTGCCTCTTACCAATTTCCAAGTAGTATTTGCTTTATTTTTAAGTTACTAGTCATATGAAAGTTTGAGTTAATATGTTAATATTAAATATGTTATATATATATATACATATATATATATATATATCTTTTATTTAGATATTGTTTTCTTTTATTGGAGCACTGGCTTGGTAATGGTTACCACTGGTAATACTGATACTATACTTACAATTGTTACTTACTGCTAAGTGGTAATCTCCGGAGTACATGGGTTCCAGTGACACATGAATGAGTTGAATTTGGGCCTATGTTAACACAAAGAAAACCCAGAGCCCTCTAGCAAGATGGAGTGACTACTTTTTGATAACTTTATTGGTTCATTTTTTCACAAAATGCACTGTGATATAATCTAATAAGGACAAATCCTTAAAATCATTTTACTTTGTTATCATCTTTCACCAAGAAAACAGAAACCAACAAGGACAAATGAAGGATATTGTTATAGACAATACTATAGAGAGCATTTAAGCTAAAATACTCCATTATTGCTTACTGATATGATAAGCCGGGAAGATTATATGATACTGTAAGCCTGATGAATTGCCCAAAGAGTGTCCTATTAATTAAGTTAACCAAGACAGTCATTTCCAGTGTGTTTTGCATATGAATTTCAGGCAACCAACAGGCAAGGAGACTATGACTTGATAGTGTCACTTGTGCTTGGACAAAATGAGAAGTCCTAAAAGAAAAAGTAATTAAAAACAATCTCTATCATGACCCAGTTAATTGACCTTTTAATGTAAAGTTAATTGAATTTCTAATGCAAATTTATCCAGGTCCTTATGAGCTATCTAGAGAAAGGAACATTTGGCCTGTACAGCATTTCCTTACATCCAGGTACACCTAGAAGCTAATAGAGAGAACATAAGAAATAAAGGAAATAACCCTTGGAGTTCTTCTGAGAGAAGCTGGACATTGTGTGAATAACAGGCTCTGCCTTGGAGAGAATATGGGTGATCTTTAGGGTCACTCTTTATATGAAACTAATAGGAAACGTAAAAAAGAAATTCAAGTTATAGATACTTAGCTCTCACTACCTAAGTAAAATCCATGAAATCAAAAGTAATGTATTTAAAATCCCTAGGTCTAGGTATTCTTATTGTGAGCAAAAGCATTTTGAGGGGAAAGAACATTGTAGTTAATTTCAGTGCTCTTCTATTAACTGGGTGGTGATTATCTAATAACCTTTCTTTGCCTAACTGCAAGCATGTGCATGGAGGAACTGCCTATCCTTTCCTTAGAGAAATGGTCTCCCATGTATTATATGATCTACAGTGTGCCTGAGATTGTACATTATTTTTCCAAATCAATCATTTAACTCTAATGCTGGCAAATGAGGCCATTGGCCTTCTCCTGCACCTTGTGACTCTGTACTCGGCTCCCACAGTACAATAGTGCGATCCCACTGCAGTCTTGGCTGACCGGCCTCTCTGGTTTCACTGCCACAGTGTTCTCTTCTTGGTTGCCCAGACAACTGCAGGTGTTTTCTGCATAACTGTGATCATCTCTGCATTTGTAACAGTGCTACCATTTCTTCCAGCACAATTGAAAAACATACCCAAAGCAAACAAAGTAAAAACTTCCTAAGTGAAACTGCTGCTTTTAAGCCACTTAGTGCTCATGTTCTTTGGGGCTTATTTGGTTTCCTTTTCAGAAACATGAGCAGGGAGTGTGTGCATGTGCACCCTATCTATTAACCTCTCTTATTTAAAGGCTGGTGTTTGTGTGGAGAGAGTTCCTAAAAGGTGTTGGGCACTTCAGTTCAAAAGCCAAGCAATTATCAGGGCCTCTAAGCAGTTCAAAAGAAAGGAAATTGATGGTAAACTCTTTGGTGTAGGATTTCAATAATCTTTCACATCAGTAAAATACAATCGATAAGAAGCACTGTTAACCATAGATTATATGTTCTAGTGTTAGGAAAATGTGTGAGATAAATACTGTATGAACCCCCCCAAAAGAAAGTGGAGGAAAACAAATCATGAATAGAATTAGAGACCACATAGCTTTCAGAGAGCCCAAACTGAGAAATTGTGTGTGTATATATGCATGAGTTTGTGTGCTTTAATGAAACATAAGGAGTTGCTAGGATTGCTTTTTTCAGGGTCTCTGTGTATTCATATCATATTAATTTCAGCAATTGTTTTTAGGTTTTAAGAATAATTGCTTTGTATTCTAAATCTCACAGAATCTGCTTTTGGGTCCATCTTTAACATTAATGCTTCCTAAAATTAAACCACCCGGTGGAGCTTCATTATTATTCATCCTTTAATGAGTATTATATTTATGCTAGATGGTACATGGAAAAAAATAAGCCCATATTTCTTTTGGTAAGGGAGAATGCTATTAATTTACAGTGCATACATTTACGCCTGGAAAAACATTCCGGAAGGCAATAATGGGCAGCATGTTCTCCTTGCTCTGGACTTTGCTTAAATGAGAATCATTCCATCTGCCTCTCAGTTCTTATGTTCAAATGTCAGGAAGTTGTGTAAGGGTTAGACATAACTAAAATTCAAATAATTTTATTCTATCCAGTTTTTATTTCTGTTTTCATTAACCTCTAGTATACCAATGCAATTGCCATACTATGTACAATATCGTTGCATATATGTTTATTGATAATTATTTAATCCACTTAGGCAAATCGCATATGAAATGCATGTGGTATTTCATATCTTTTTGGTGATAATTTTACTGATATCTGTTGAGAACAGTTGGGTGTTTTTTTTGCTCTGCAACACTTAAATACCATCATTCCTATATAGGTTAAAAAACCGAAGAGACTTTGGAAACCATCAAAACACTCACTTTACAAATAAACAGCCTAAGAACCATTAAATTTGAATAAAACCCACGTCTCTTTAGTCCAGTCCAACAAGTTAACAGATATAAAAAGTAATTATTAACCTGGCCAAGGAGAGATTGGTTACTTAGTAATGACCAACTATTTGAAAATCTAATTTTATCAGATTCTTAATCTTGGCTCCTTTCATAAATGACATGTTAAAGTGACACAGAAATTTATAACTTTAAGCTAGTTGGACAGCAGTAAAATAGATGTAATTAGAGTAAGAACTAGAAGAGCCAGTATGTCAGGTGTAGAAACCAGGAGGTGGCAGGAAGCAAAGGTTAATGTTTTCCAGTGATCCAGTGTAAGCCAAGAGTGTAGAGCAACAAAATTAGGAATGATTAGGGAAAGATAAAGATCTTGGGCTTTTTCTTTTCTTTTTTAAAAATTTTCTCCAGGAAAAAAAAATTATTTAAATGCTCTTATTGCCATCTTCAGATAGATCCTGTTGAATAAACTGCAAAATACTTGCACCCAAGAGGCCAGTAGTTCAAAGTTCCAGGAAGTGGTCTCTCAGCTCAGTATAAGAAGTTGCTAATGATCAAACATGTCCTGAATTCGCAGCTATATCTTAGGCAATAGTGTCATCTGTCACTTTAAGAGTATCAGCATAACTGATAAAGTACCTCTCAGACATGTTATGGAATCTACTTGGACATTGATGCCTTGGGTGTTTGGATTATTAAAGGTACTTTCTGTCCTGAAAAATCTATGGTTTCTGAGAAACCTTTCAGGAAAGAGGTAGGCCTTTATCCAGCTGTATCATGGTTATGAGGAAGGTTGCTCAGAAAACACCAAGTCCCAGTTTTGTCCAAATTGAAGAGTCTTTATTTAGCCAACTGGCCAGTGACTGCTCCCCACAGGACCCATAACTGTCTCTTCAAGGAACAGCAGCAAGCCTGAGCATATGAGGATATTTAAAGGTAAAAACTGTTAAAACCATATCCGGGTTGCCCATATAGCCTGGCCCATAACATTGGCACATATTATTAGGCTTCCCATCATAAAGTGAAGGTAAGAACGGACTCCTCATGTCAGAGATGCATGTGCTGGTATTAAATGGCTTTAAGTTGCAAAGATTTACTCAGTAGTGAATGTCAAACAGAAATCTATTCACTAGTTAAGAGGTCACACCCCAAACTGGCACAAAACCCAACAAGAAACTGACCTTCAGGAAAATGCTGACCTTCAAGAAAACTACAATAACTATATAACACAGACTTTCAAGTAGATT